CAGGAAAGCTGACGTTTCAGGTCGGGACCCTTCTTCAGAAACGTCAACTTTCCTGCTCCTCTGGTGCTGCCTGGCCTGCTGTGTTCCTCCAGCTCCACACTGTGTTAACCATGCCATATGCCTTCTTATCCACTTGTGTTGCCACTTTCAGGGAGCTATGGACTTGCTCCCCAAGATCCTTCTGTATATCAGCACTCCCAAGGGTCCCACCATTTACTGTACTGTCTTGTACCTGACCGCCCAAAATGCACCACCTCACACTAGACTGGTCAAAATGTGTGATGGGGAATGTAGCAGCAGTGGTCTAATCTGTCCCCTGTCCTCAATGTGCGATTTGCGATATGTACTCATGGGTTCTCTCCCACTGTCTCCTGCAATGCCAGCTCAGTGGGAGGTCTACAGCTCCACATTATTCAATTGCCACTTTCAAGGTGAGAACTCAGATAAAGCTAGCAACACAAATGGTACCTTCAGCAAACAGAATGATGCTGTCAACCAAAAAAGATGGTTCCCCAGAAGCTGGGAACATGGATGGCAATGCCTGTTGGTATTATCACTAGACTATTAATCCAGAGAGCCAGGTGGGGGACCTGGGTTCAAATCCTGCCATGACAGATGGTGGAATTTGAATTCAATAAAGGCTCTCGAAATACCAGTCTAATGGTGACAACAAAACAATTGTCAATTGTATGGGAAAACCAATCTGGTTCACTAACACCGTTCAGGGAAATGAAACCTCCTGGTCTGACCTACACAGGACTCCATAATCACAGCAATGTGGTTGACTCTTAACTGCCCTCTAGGCAATTAGGGATGGGCAATAACTGGGGATGAATTTTAAAACAATATGCATTTCAGTGCTGGCGTAATTTCAAGTATACCAGCCATCGATCCCAATGGCTGGTGGATTGTATCAAACAGTGCTCCCTTTCTGTTATGTGCAGAGCACTTTCCATCTACCAGTGCTTGCAAAACCCAGATTTAAATGTCAAATAGATTCAATGACGGGACAGCACTGACTGAACAATCCCATATGCGCCAATAATTACACTGACAACTGATCTAAGATTACAAGCCAGGCTTGCAACGTGGATCACATAAATCTGTCAGAAACTGAGTGCTTTCATATTTAGGGCCCACCCACTGAAGGAGATAAGGATTTGTCCTGGCCTGGTCTCTTTCCAATTTAGCAATGGCTTGGAAGACACTTGATTAGGGCGGCACAGTGGTTAGCTCTGCTACCTTATAACACGAGGGATCTGGGTTTGATTCCAACCTTGGCTGACTGTGTGTGTGGAGTTTGCATTGCTCTCCCTCTGTCTGTACAGGCTACCTCTGGGTATTCTGGTCTCCTCACACGGTCCAAGGATGTGTGAGCTAGGTGGATTAGCTGTAGGAAATACAGGGATAGGGTAGGTGGGTGGGTGGGATGCTCTTCAGAGGTCAGTATGGACAGGATGGGCTGAATGGCCTGCCTCTACACTGTATGGATTTTATGATGCATTCCCAATAAGATTTCTTGACCAATCAGAGTTGAATTGCTATTTTCTTTAATTGGAGGAAAAGCATTTGGACCATGGTGAATTTTCCATGGTAATCCACTTGCCAACCAATCAGCACCCTGTTTCTTTTGCAGTATAAGTAATTGTTCCTTCTGAAATGTGACATTTTTTGCATGACGGGAAATGAAATGAAAAGCTTTGACAGAATGTCTCTCCTCTCAGCAATGCTCAAGCTGTGGGCTTCAAAATAATTGTGTGATATGGACCCATCTTTCACTGATCATCAACATGGGTGGTCAATGAGTATGACCGAAATCAATTACCAAACACTGACCATTAAACATCTGCTGAGTCAATGGGATGGTGAAAGTAAATAAGGAAGTATTTACAAAAGAGTAAATGCAAGCCATGATCAATATTTATACCCCAGGCAGCTGGTGAAATCTGTTGTCCTGGAACAGAATGTTTTATCATTATCACACATACTATTCATTGAACAAACAAACACAGAAATTACCGGAGAAACTCAGCAGGTCTGGGAACATCTGTGGAGAGAGGTAAAAAAAACAGATATCATTTTGAGTCCAGTGACAACTTTGTCTTTTTCTTCATCAGTTCTTCAGAAGTGCCACAAGACCCAAAACATTAGCTCTTTCTCTCTCCACAGATGCTGCCAGACCTGCTGAGTTTCTCCAGCGATTTGTCTTTGATAGTTTCATATCTGCAGCATGCAGAGTTCTTTGTTTTATTTTACAGTTTGTGGGAGCTGGCCTTGTGCTGAATAGCTACAGCATCTCACCCTGTGACAACGTTGACTTCTTCAATGCAGTTAATTGGCTGTGATGTCCTGAAGTTGTGAAAAATATTACATGAAGGCAGCTCACCACCACCTTCTTGAGGGCAACTAGGGATGGGCAATAAATGCTGGCCTGACCAGCGAAGTCTACATCCAGTGAGTGAGTGAAGAAAATGGTCCTTTTTGACCCATTTGTCAAGTATCTTCAATCTTGGCACTAGATTCCCTGAAATACTCATGGTTGTGTGACTACATTAACTGGATCATCCCAGTCAGGTATAACATTTTTAATCCTTGTAGCTAACTTAAGGTGACAGGAGAGAGATTTAAAAAAATACATGAGTGCCAAGTTTTTTTTACACAGAGGGTGGTTCACATGTGGAATGAACTTCGTGAGGAAGTGGTGGATGTGGGCACAATTACAACGTTTAAAAGACATTTAGATAAATACATGAATAGGAAATGTTTGGAGGGATATGGGCCAGAAGCAGGCAGATGGGATTGTGCTTGGCATGGACTGGTTGGACCGAAGGGTCTGTTTCCATGCTGTAAGACTCTATGAATGTTCACAGTGTACAAAGTGAAAATGATCTTGACATTTGCATGCTCTCTTATGGTTCAAAGTGTGCACAGAGTAACTGCCAGTTATTATTTGGGACCCGAAACCTTATCTGCTCCATCATGTTCTTGCTGATATTTGACAGTCGACCATTTTTGTCCACAGCTCTGTGTTTCCCTAACAGTATGCTGGAGTGTACTGAACATTGTGCTGTGTATCTTGTCAGCATGCATTCACCAACAGAAGGGGTTCGATGGGAGAAGGGAAATAAATAGAAGATCATAGAATCCCTACAGCGTGGAAACAGGCACTTGAGCCCAACAAGTCCACACTGAATCTCAGAGCATCCCACCCAGACCCATCCCCCTGTAACCCACCTAATCTACACTTCCCTGAACACTATGGGTAATGGCCAATCCACCTAGCCTGCACATCTTTCAACGGTGGGAGGAAACCGGAGTACCCAGAGGAAACCCACGCAGACACGGGGAGAATATGCAAACTCCACACAGACAGTTGCCCGAGGGTAGAATCGAACCCGAGTCCCTGGTGCTGTGAGGCAGCAGTACTGAGCCACTGTGCCACCCACTTGTATTTTTTATTTTTTTAAATACTTGCAGTGATCCAGCAGTCCAGTAATCTAGCAATCCAGACATTCACTACCATCTTGAAGGAGAAATTCCTTCGCATCTCAGTTTTAAATGGGTGTCCCTTTATTCTGTAACAACGTCACTAGCTCGACATCACCCCACCAGTGGAACATCTTCTCAGAACCCCCCCTGCCAAGCATCACAGACCATAGAAAAGAATGGAATACAATAAAGGATTCACATTTATCAGTTTGTGCAGTTTTGTTCTCATCATACTCCACCTGTCCCAAGAACATCACACGTGCTCTTTTCCAATCATAGACCCTACTTCAGATCCTTCTCTCTGTTACATCCGGTCTCCTCTTCATATGAATCAGGAACAGGAGTAGGCCATTTAGCCCCTCAGTCATTCAATAAGATTATGGCTAATCTTTATACTCCACATTTGTTTTATTATTCACGCACAGGATGAGGGCGTCGCTGACCAGGCAGCATTTATTGCCCATCCCTCATTGCCCAGTGGGCAGTTAAGAGTCAACCACAGTGTTGTGGGTCTGGAGTCACATGTAGTCCAGGCCAGGTAAGGATGGCAGTTTCCTTCCCTGAAGGACATTAGCGAGCCAGATGGTTGACAATCAGCAATGGATTCATGGTCTCCATGAGACTCTTAATTCCAGAATCCACTATCTGCCATGGCAGGATTTGAACCTGGATCTGAGGAACATTACTTTGGGTTTTCCTGATGAACGGTCTAATGATCATACCATGAGGCCACTGTCTTCCCAAGTGCATTCAATAAACTTTCACCCCATTGCTTATCAAGAAGCTACTTATGTCTGCCTCAAACATACTCAACAATTCTGCTTTGACTGCCTTTTGAGGGAGAAAGTTGTAAACACTCAGAGAAATGGTTCTCCTGATCTCTGTCTTAAGTAGACAGTAGATTATTTTTAACAGTGACTCCAAGTTCTACAGTTCTACTTCTCTTTGTGTCATTAGCGATTTAGCAACCAGCTCTTCAGTCCCTTTGTCATTTCTATCATTTGTGCAATTTTGCAGTCCCAGCACTGTTCCCTGCGGCACACTACTTATTAATAAAAAAAAAACCTTTATTCCTCCCCTCTGCTCCCTGTTGACCAGCCAATTTTCTGTCCGTGTTCCCCTCTGCATCATGAGCTTTTATTCTCTTCAATGAGCTTTAATGTGACACCTTATCAAATACCTTCTGGAAATCTAAATACACTCCATCCACTGGTTCCCCTTTATCTACAGGACAAGTTAATTCCACAAAGGACTCCAATAAATTATTTAAGTTCATTCACTCACAGGATGAGGGTATTGCCGGCTGGGCCAACATTTATTGCCATTTATCTCTAATTGCTCTGACATTAGTTGAGAGTCAACCACATTGCTGTGGGTCTGGAGTCACGTGTAGGCCAGATGAGGTAAGGATGGCAAATCTCCTTCCTTAAAGAACATTAGTGAATCAGATGGGTTTTCCCCAACAGTCAACAATGGATTCGTGGCCATCTTTAGACTCTTAGTTCCTGATTTTTATTGAATTCAAATTTCACCATCTACCTCAGTGATATTTAAACTTGGGTTGTCAGAGCATTGCCTGGGTTTTTGGATTAATAGTCCAGTGATAATACCACTAGGCCATCGCCTCCCCAAAATTTCCCTTTCACAAAACCATGTTGACTCTGCCTGAGTACCTTGAACTCCTCTACATGCCCTGCTGACTTCCTTTTAATAATAGCTTCTCAGATTTTTCCCTGCAGCTGATGTTAAACCTTGTGGTTTCCTGCTTTCTGTTTCCCTGTATTTCTGAATAAGAGAGTCACATTCACTGCTGCTGCCTGCCTTAGTTATCAACCATGACCTGGTTGGTCACCTCTCACCTCTGGGTCTGAAGGGTATGGGTTCATACCCACCTCAGACATTTGACCTGGTACTTTGAGTGCAGGACTGAGGGTACACTGCACTGTCAGAGGTATCGTATTTTTGGATACAGTGTTTACACTAAGACTGTGACTATCCTCTCAAGTGGATGTAAAATATCTGCTGGTATTTGTAGAATTGTAGGGAAGTCCTTCACAACGTCCTGGGCGGTATCCCTTAACCAATTTGGGGCGGCACGGTGGCTCAGTGGTTAGCACTGCTGCCTCATAGTACCAGGGACCTGGGTTTGATTCCACCCTCGGGCGACTGTTTGTGTGGAGTTTGCACATTCTCCCCGTGTCTGCGTGGGTTTCCTCCCAGTGCGCTGGTTTCCTCCCACAGTCCAAAGATATGCAGGTTAGGTGGATTTTCCATGCTAAAGTGCCCCATAGTATTCAGGCATGTGTAGCTTAGTTGGGTTAGAGGGGGATGGGTTTGTGTGGGATGTTCCAAGGGTTGGTGTGGACTTGTTGGGTCGAGGGGCCTGATGTCACACTGTAGGGATTCTATGAATCTTCTGTAGGGAATATGTGAATCTTCTATTTCACAAAAACGGAAACAATCTCCCCGGCTAGAGATTCAGTCCCACAGAACAGAAAAAGAAAGGAGATGATGAAGATGTTCAGGCCCAAAAATGATTGAGTCCTGAAGGCTGCAGGGTCCCCAAGTGGAAAATCTGTTGCAATTGTGCCAGATCTCTGAAAGGTTCTGCACCCTAATTCTAATGCTGTGGCTCAGTCCCTGCACTGTGACTCCTCCCTCATGTGGGCTGTGTTTGTTTGCGCGCACTTTGGACAGGTTCGAAAGCACAGTAACCTCTTACCAGTCTGTAGAGCAGCAGAATCCCTCTTCTCCACATAAGGGTCACAGTAGAAATCCGCCAGGGACCTGATGGTGCACTGTCCAACGATAGGTCGCCTTCCAAACTGCCTGTTATCAATCACCTTGATAGTGATGGCTGGACAATACAGTTCCTCCTTTGGTAAACGCTAGTGGGAAGTGGATAAAAGGCAACTAAAAAAGTCAGAAATAGTGAAATATTTTCATACAGTTTCTGCCCTCCTATGCTGTCAAAGAGACCTTCAGCATCAGTACCTTTCGATAGGGCTCTTTACAGCCTCTTGGACTCAACACAGAATTCCATAACTTCAGATCCCAACCATTGCCCCTATTGACTCCAGACTGTAAGATTGAGAGAGGTAGATTTTTAATCAGTAAGGGGGATCAGGGTTATTGGGGAAATGGCAGGAAAGTGGAGTTGAGGATTATCAAATCAGCCGTAGTCTTATTGAATGGTATAGCAGGTTTGATTGGCTGGATGGTCTACTCCCGCTCCCACTTCTTATGGTCACCTCTCGTTATTAACTGCCCGTGCAATTTACACCTCCTCTGGATCCACCTCTGATGTTGTTACTTGTTTCCCCAGTTATAAAGAAAGGACATCAACTCAAATGTCACCTGTGTTTCTCTCTTTACAATTTGTTTCCCCTTTAATCATTTACAGCATGTGGGCATCGCCGGTGAAGTCAGCATTTATTGCCCAGCCCCAACTGCTCAGAGGGCAGTTAAGACTCAACCACATTGCTGTAGGCCTGGAGCCACACGTAGGCCAGACCAGGTAAGGACAGTAGATTACTTTTCGTAACACCGTAACATATAGGGACAGGAGTAGGCCATTCAGCCCCTTGAACCTGCTCCGCCATTTAATAGGATCATGGCTGATCTGAAATCCCACACGTCCACTTTCCTGCCCTTTCCCCATAAGCCTTGATTCCCCGACTGATGAAGAATCTATCTCAGCCTTAAATACACACAAGGACACTGCCCCCACAGCTCTCTGTGGCAAGGAGTTCCAAAGACTCACAACCCTCTGAGAGAAGACGTTTCTCTTCATCTCAGTCTTAAATTTGCCCCTTTATCCTAAGACTATGGTCTGTGGTCTTAGACTCTCCCATGGTTGCGGGGGGGGGGGGGGTAACATTCTCTCAGCATTTACCCTGTCAAGCCCCTTAAGAATCCAATACATTTCAATGAGATCACCTCTTGTTCTTCTAAACTCCAGACAGTAGATTCCTAACTGATTCTGTTTCTCTTTAGATGTCAGTCAGTATGGTAAACCTTCGCTGTACTCCCTCCATCGCTAGAATATCCTTCCATAGATACGGATTGATAGAATATTTGGGCTGCTTACCACTTCCATGAACAGGATGGACATGTTGAAGTTTGGATTCTTCTTGGCATTTTTAATGACTGAGGACTGCACCATCTGCCCTCCACACTCCACGATGAGGCTGGGAGAGGACACGCTCGCTAGCTGGTAGCTCTTCAGGTTCCTCAGGCCCCAGGCTAGAACCTGCCGGGTATTCATACGGCATCAGTAATGGAGTACAGCAGTCTGGCCCTATCTTAACCACCCTGAGACCACTTTACTGTAATTTGATGAGGTGATATGAAGAGAGGCAGGAGGAGTCTGCAGTACACTATAAGCACCAGCATGGATCCATTGGCCAAATCGTTTGTTTCTGCGCTTTGAAATTCTATGTAAGGGTTGCAGCTGCTCTCGTTTGCTACAAAAGAGGATCTCATTTTATTCATTTATGGGATGAGGACATCTCTGGTTAGGCCAGCATTTATTGCCCATCCCTAATTGCCCAGAGGGCAGTTAAAAGGTAACCATGTTGTTGTGGGCCTGGAGTCACTTATAGGCCAGACCAGGTAAGGATGGCACTTTCCTTCCCTAAAGGGCATTAGTAAACCAGATGGGTTTTTCCCTGACAATTGACAATGGATTCATGGTCATTGTTAGGCTCTTCATTCCAGATATTTTATTGAATTTAAAGTCTACCATCTGCCATGGTAGGATTTGAACTCAGGTCCCCTGAACATTACCGGCAATAATATCACTAGGTCACTGCACACCTCCCCCCAACACAACGCTCCCCCTCCCAATTCCAGAGGTGAACCACACAGTCCCCAAGGGATACCTCAAGAACCAGCTTTGGAAATATCTACTAGTTGCATTGAAATGGAACTAGAAAAGTAATAAAGAGTAATTATGCAAAATGGAAAGGCCAATGGTATTATTGTGTAATATTGGAAATAGGATGTGAGGATTAACCAGCAGCATTACTGGGGTCACTGCTATCTATCGCTTCCCCAAAGAATTTAGACTCCTGTATCAGAAAGGCAACTTCGTAATTTGCGGATGACACAAAATGTGGGAGTATAGTTGTGACGGAGGAGGAGTGCAGCAAAATACAGGGACACATGAATAAACAAGAATGGATGTGATTGCACTATTCTGATCACTGATCCTTGTACATTCCTCAACTAGTCTGTGCATGGGGCATACGTATGCATGAATATATATGAGTCAAGTAGCTGACTCACAGTGAAGACTCTGGAGAGTTCTGGGAATTAGCAGAGACATGTATATGCTAAAACATCGACAAAGTTCTGAGATGTTTAATGCTCTATAAATAAACCCTGTGAATTTAGAACTCGATGCCATGATTACGTTGTTCTCAGTAAAACCAGATAAATGATATATATAAAGGAACTCAGAACAAACTTAACTTTAACCTCAATACAAAAATATGTGAGGCAGCATAATTTGGTGTGATGCGTAAGGCAGGTATATGATATTTGGAAAACAAGTTGCTCAATGGGATAGAGGAGCTGGGGATACAGATATCTGTATTTTATTGTAGCAGCACAGTTTAGGAAGGCCATTAAAAGTAAACACAACATGGGAATCAATAGTAGATTGGTAGAATTTGACATCATTGAAATTAAATTGAACTTGTGTAGAATTTGGTTTGAATCACACTTAGAGCACTGCGAACAGCTCTGGACACCATGTTATCAAGAAAAGGATTTGAAAGTGTTTCATAAGAAAATACCAGAACTGAGAGAACAAGGATTAGAGCTGGATGAACACAGCTGGCCAAGCAGCATCATAGGAGCAGGAAGGCTGCGCTGGCCTGCTGTGTTCATCCAGCTCTACACCTTGTTATCTCAGATTCTCCAGCATCTGCAGTTCCTACTATCTCCTACACCAGAACTGAGAGGTTTTGTTGATCAGGACCCTTTTTCTTTTGAACTGTGGGGACTGTGGAATGACCTGATATTGCAAAGCTGGAAGTAGGAACTCTTGGTGATGAAGTGGACATGATTCTGATATTCTGGTCTGATATCTGCTTCAGTGTAAACAGCCCAATCCAATCTTGTCGATCTACCAGTGAGAGAGACAGAGTTGTGAATACCCACCTCAATGGCAGTGCGTTGCAGGACGGGTTTGATCCCTTGGGGCACCATGTAGATATTGGGTTCCCGCTGTGGGGGTGGGTAAGGCAGGTCCGTGTCATCCTCCTAGTGAAAGGCGGGCACAGAGAGGAGGAAAGACAGAGAGGAGTTAGTGAGTTCAGGAGAATCTCCCACCCGGTGAGGTTACCACGCACTCAAAGCCAACATGCAAACCAGAAGCTGGGAGCTATCTGCAGGAAAGATGGATATCAGGGAGGCAGCAGGATTAAAAAGTAGCCATCCAGGGGAATGCTCATCACTATATCCAGGCTTGTTAATGAGCACTACTTGTCCGCGTAGGACAGAAAACTCCCCCCACCCCCTCACCCCACACCGAGACAGCATGCACATGCACACTCACTGTCACATTCACTCTCCCACTCTCCCACTCACTCTCAACATACATCCAATCACTCTCACACTCACACATCCACTCTCCCACTCACTCACTCACAC